GTCCATCTTGTCCATAGGGACAAGAACACAATATATTATTGACACTGGCCTTTCCCTTCCACAGAAATTGGAAATTCTGAGACATTTTAAAACAGTTCTGAAGCTATGATACATTACACTTATCCAGTCAAATGATAACTTGGATTAGAAATTTTGAGGTGTGGTCAGAGAAAGAAGATTCTTGAAGAGAAGAGTAACTGAGGCAAAGGAGAAGGTGGCAGTAGAGAGAGAGAGTAGTGAAGGAATTAGACCTTTGGTATCGTCATGAAAAGGTAAGGAGTTTCATGAAACGAAGACAAGGATTCTGCTTTCTATCCATCTTTCTGGCCCTCTCCCTTCTGGGAGTTCACTGTTCTTTCAGCTGTTGTTTGGTACCTTCAGGCTGTTCTCTGACAATCTAGAACGATTATGGGTATTACTTTCCTCCCTCCCAACCCACCATGCCCACTACTTTTTCATCCTCAGCAACATTCAGGATTCTCTTTCTTGTTGCCTATAAAATGAAGTCAAGTTCCTATGCCTAGCATTCAAGACACCCCCGGCCCATCTGGCAGCTCCAACGTGTATTTACCATCTTTACATTGTATCCCACTCCTCTAACCTTGAGTCTGTGACTTAACATCTCTCACCCACTTTTTCCTATAGAAGTCGCTGGTTCATTTATTTACTCACCAAACATTTATTGAATGCCTGTTACGTATCATTTCTTCAGTAAACTTTCGTTAAGCCTTATTTTAGAGCCTGTAAATAGAGAAATAGGAAAGGGGATAATGTTGGTAAATGGAAAAAGACCCTGAGATATATTTGGGGAATCTGTGTAGCCTACAAAATTTAGGTGTGACAGGAGGTACCCATGTAGTCTCCTCAAATACTCATTGCCTTCAGCCATGCTGAGCTATATCACTCGTACACACTGAGATCAAGGCTCTGGTATCATTTAGGTTCAATTCAAATATATTTCCAAATGGAAATGATGAAAGAAGTAGCCATCCTGATCCTGAACTGGAGTCATCAACATGAGAACTACTGACAGTTTCTTAAAAGACATCACTTACTCTGATTCATCTTGTCAGAATGATCAACAACCTCATTGTGTTCACACCTAGTAGCACTACTGGGGTCTGTGTCATGGGGCCCTTTTCTTTCAGTGGTGACTCCCAAAGAGCAGATACTCAGAAGCTGCTACACACTCACCCATCGTATTAATCCCGTTCGCATTCCCCAAATGAGCCTTGTTCTTTCCTTCTTCCATGCCATTACTCATCAGTTTGGTGGGGAAAGAGAGGATTTAGAGCTAGATCTGAATTTGAGACCTACATTCCCCTCTTGTTTGCTGTGTAACCTTGGGTAAATTTTTTAAACTGGTTAAAAGCTTTGAGAGAATAATAATACATGCCTTTCCCCGTGTCATCTGTTACAAGGTATTGATGAGGATTTATGTGAAAGTACTTAGCATAGAATCTGTCACACACTAAGTATTCTTTCTTTTCTCCGTTTCGTGGGGAGTTTTTACTCCTTCCCCCATCCGTGTTTATTAAAATTCTGTCCCATTATCGAGCTCTTACATCTCTATTAAAGCTTTTTCAGTATTCTCAGATGCAGGAGATACAGGCTTCCCATGTTATGTCTGCGCTTTGTAGAGTTTTAGACTTTTGAAGGAGTTCTAAGTTTAGGGGGAATGGCACAGGGAAGGGTAGATGTCTGAACAAAACAGCACTGTATTTGGAAGCAGGAAAATTAGAGTCAGAGAGAGATGTTCTGCAAATGGTATAAATAAGGGTATCTTGTCACTCAGTGCAAAGAGATTGATTTTCAGCCCATCTTATTCCAATGGGCCAGAGATGAAGGTTGTCCCCAGTTCCTAGTATTAACCACAGAAGAGGGGCCACTCACTCCTCTTTATTCAATGAGAGCTAGCTACCAATCACCCAGATAGCCCCGAGCTTTTGGAATTTGATGCAATGTCTTGATTAGAACTGGACAGTCACTCTATAGATTTTTCTAGGAAGACCTAGCTTGGTCAGCAGAATAGGAAGCATCCAGAATGACATCAGTCTGGCAAGCTTTGACGGGATCAACCAAAGATGGCCAACACAACTGCTTGTTCTTTCATTTACCATTTCACACCTGGTATAGTCAGGAAGCTACATTTAAAAAACAATTTTCTTTTAAAAAACAAAACAAGGGGCACCTGGGTGGCTCAGTCATTAAGCGTCTGCCTTTGCCTCAGGTCATGATCCCAGGGTCCTGGGATAGAGCCCCGCATCCGGCTCCCTGCTCGGCGGGAGGCCTGCTTCTCCCTCTCCTGCTCCCCCCTGCTTGTGTTCCTGCTCTCTCTGTGTCTCTCTCTGTCAAATAAATAAAATCTTTAAAAAAAATAAAAATAAAAATAAATAAATAAATAACAAAACAAAACCAAAAACCCCATAGTCAAAAAAGCACTCCTTTGCTGTAAAGCCGGAAGGATTCTTTCATTGGAGCTGATTGTTCACATTTGTAGAATTTAGAATTTTGTAGATGGAAGGGGCCTTAGAGTTGAATAGGGTCTTCAGAAGGAGACAGAAGGCTCTTGCTTTCTGCATGAACAGAGTTCATTCACAAGACAGTTTTTCTTGATCTATGAGGAGTGATCTCAGACAATTGGCTAATTGGTTGAGGGAGGTGACCTGTCAGCTTTGCAGAGAAGCTATCTGCTTTTAGGGACCCACATAGAGAACACATCTTAAGCTTTCCATGACAGGCAAAAGCAACCCCCCATTTATCCTCCTGTGTAATGGCCAGTCAGAACCACAGATAAGGAGTGCATTTCACTTGAGAGTAAAGCCATGAAAACCCAACCAGCTGCCAACAGCTGACCACTGTGCCATTTCAGCTCAGTGTTGTTTTAGGCTTTGAAATATTTCTGAACGATCTTCCAATTTGCTCTATTGTACGGAGATAAGTGACCCTCCAGAAACAGTGTACTGTTTATTTTTAAGTGTTATCAGATGCTTAGTTTGTTGAAATGACACTTGCCTATTGTGTAGAAAACAAGGGCAGAACTCACTTGTAGCCATCTTGAAAGTCCAAATGGGTGAAAAAAAAAAGGGGGGGGGGAATGGAAAGTGTCTGTAGGGAAATGTTAAATTTTTCTGGATTTCAAATGTGAAAGAAACTCAGAATGAAGAAGAGGATCATAGACTGCCAAGAAGGGAATCACTAGAAGATAACTGATACAAGTCAATAAGTTGAATCCCTTTGCCCCTAGTCTGAGAGCCAGTGAAACTGGTGTCATTTTTGTGGGGAACATATTATTAAGATGTATCCAGGATATAAAGTTTTATGATAAGAATGGCTGTGACCATTGTAGGATAAGTAGTCCCTCCAAACAAAACAACCACAGGACTGGTCATTAAGATACCTGAGTTTTAATAGCACACGTGCACCCTGGTTAGTGTAGTGGTTAAGAGTCAAGGTTTTGGATCTGTCATACATGGGCTTGGATTCTGTTTCTGTCACCTACCTATTCGATAACCTTGGTTAAGCACATGGTAAGTATTTATATCAGGAATATTTTCAATTTATTAAGCTGACTGAGAATGGTTTACAATTACCACATTATAAGAAATCTATAATAAGCAGTTGCTGCCGTAAAGATTAGTGTTGCAATCAAGGATGCTTATTCTTTGTATCTTCCCATTCAGCCTTCCGTAAAGTGGTGGCTTTTTACTTCACGTTAGCAGGAAAATCAAAAGCTTTCCCATGAGCCCCCAGCAGATTTCTGCTTATGTCTTACTGTTCAGAACTGTGGCACACGGACACTTCTGGTTAGAAGAAAGCCTAGAAAAGGGATCTGCTTTTCGAGACTCTGTAATGAAGGCAAATAAGGAAGACAGAGATTGTGGGTGGGGGTTATGTTATCCAGCCAGCACTGCTGTGTCTGGCACCACATTCGGTTCATGGTAAATGCTGTGATGGTGATGATGGTAACAGATAAGCCACCTCATGCTCTTCTGAAGATTCCAGTGATAGGGTATTAAACATTTTAGACTTTATGAAGTACTTCTGCTTACCTGTGTGAGGAGTTTCTTGGCGGTTATTGTTGTTATTGCATGTCTGGAAGTTCCTTGATGATCGATTGAGAGAAGATGTCAACCAGGAAAGATAGCATAATCCAGGCCTTCACACTGACCTGGCCCAGCTCCAGGTCACTTGCTTACAGATCCTTTCTAGATCACCCAGAACCACTCTAAACTGCTAATATCATTTATGACATAATGTTTATTTGCTGCTTTATATTTTTTAAATACACATGGCTTCTTAGCTAGATTTGGAGCTCCTTAATTTCAGGGTCTGCATAGAATGTGCCCTCTGGCATGTAGGGAGGAACTCGTTTGCTATTCATTTATCTACAGAACATTTTTTTTAAGATTTTATTTATTTATTTGAGAGAGAGTATGAGAGAGAGAGAGCACAAAAGAGGGGGAGCGGGAGAGGGAGAAGCAGACTCCCCGCTGAGCAGGGAGCCGGACGATGCAGGACTCGATCCCGGGACTCCAGGACCATGACCTGAGCTGAAGGCAGTCGCTTAACCAACTGAGCCACCCAGGCGCCCTCTACAGAACATTTTCTATTTCTCGCCATTACTAGATATGAGGTAGTGTAGGGTTGGGGAGTGATTAGAATGATGGTTTTCTATGGGGGAGGAATTTATTTTCTTTTGCTCAAACCTCCATTAGTTTTTCCTCCAATATTCCCCCTTCTTGTTCTTTTCCTCCAAAGAGAATAGTAGAGATTCTCAGGGGCTGAAATAAATCATGCCATCTTTTATACTCCAATCTCTTCTTAACTAAGTCTTAACTTTGCCTTAGCGATGAGGGATTTTGCCCTACTTTCTAGTAGGCAAAAATTCCTGCCTCCTCACTGCCATCTGTAAGACTGCAGCCAAAAGGAAAGCCTTCCCGTGCAGTTTCTTTGTGCTTTTTGTACACTCCGCCACTGTTTTGTATCTCTTTGGAGAGTTGACTTAAGAGGCAAATAGTATTGGGCAAGGAGATCAAACCCATTGAAATCTACAATAAGGTGTAAATGATTATCTGATCTTTTGCTGAGACCAAATGCTAATAAGAATGTCTAGGGATCTTGGAACTTGAGGATATTAGATGAACATTTAGCAAAGAGTATTTATTAGTAAAGCCAGTTGGAGAACACTGCTGCCCAGTCCAGGGTTCTTGTAACATTGTTTCCTGCTGGGGCTATAGTCTTCAGAAGTCCATAGTGGAACATAGGTGCCAGACTAAACATAGCCAGATTTCTGAGTACTTGAATCCAGAGGAGTTCTTCTCTTTATCGCAACACTGCAATTTTAGAAATAGAGATGAGAGTAGTTGCTAACGTATTTTAGTTTAATTTAATTATTTATATCACTTCCTAAGTCAGTAACCCAACTTGTTTGTTTTGTTTCTAACTGCACAAAACCCAGGAATTTCCAAACATCGTGTTCCTCATATCCTCTGGCCACTTAATTTTACCATACTTTTTATTCCTGACTGATGATGGTTGTTGTTTAAATGTAGCAAATGAAATGACAGCTGTGGTACTTATATGTCCCAGGTTCTAAAATAAACTTAATGTGCAGACATCCATAGACAAAACAAAACACAAAATCCTAATTATTGTCTTTTAATATTATGAAGCATTTTATCAGAGCTTGGGAGATTTGGGGTGCCAGTTACTTATCCTCCGCTCTCTTCTGATGTAGAGAACAGGAAGAAGGAGCCAAATGGAGAAGGGATATCAACTCTACTCATGGCTCCTTAATAGCACCTAAAGGCATAGCCTGCAGATGTAAATCTGGGACTTCTCTGTGCAGTGAGAGAAATCTAAATCACTAAGGAATCTATTCAGTAAGAAAAGAGGAAGCTGAGGATCATAGACTTTAAAAGGATCCCCACAAAGACTGAAAAGGAACACAGAGGTGCAGGAAGTTGTGGTGAGAGATAATCCAAAGGATTTGGGAGAAGCTTTCAAGAAAGGAGTGCTTGGCTGCCTCAAATGCTGCCCAGAAGTCAGTGAAGATAGGAGCAGCAACAACAAATGTATCCATAGGGTTTTACAACAAAGGAAGTCTCAGATCAGACTTGTTTAAAAAAAAAAAAAAAAAAAAGAACAAAAAGTGCTATTTTCCCAGCCCTGCCTCCCTAGACTGTAATCACATAGGACCACCTACATTTTGTTTTCCAATGTACCTGCACATCTGGCTCCCATTGGGTATAAAAATATGATACTGAAAGATCTTTGGCCTCACATTGTTTATTATAAACCTGGAAGAAGGACTTAGCGTATGTGTCTGTGTTTAAAGGATGATTGGTGATAAGGCTTTCCTTTGTAATCGGGGCCTCAAATTTCTGGGTCCAAAGACTTGTGACTCACTCAGTTAGGAGGAGTGTGCTGATGGAATGGCAGGGCGATGAGCTCTTCAAAAGAAGGGCGGATCCCAGGCAGCCCAGCACTGCTGTCTTCCTTTCTGTTATTTGTAGGACTCATCTTTCCTATCAGATTGTGAGTTTCTTGATCCATTGTTGTTCAATGCTGTGGGCTGGGGTGGGGGTTACACCAATGTTGAGGCTCAATAAATGTTTGACAGAATTAGGCTTCTGGAAGCAGAAGAGAAGAGGAAGAAGAAAGCTCTGAAAACAAACTCCATCTTCCCATTTCTGCTCTGGCCCTAGGAGAGAACTCCATGGGCCTGCTTCTGCCTCTAAGCATCTTTCTCAAAATCAAGCAACACTCCCAATAGCTACCTGTCGGTCTCCTAGTGTTGCATGTTAGTTTCCCTACTGTTCAAGCCCCACTTTGCTCTGTCATTACAGATGGGCTTCAAGGGCAAATCAATTTCCTGCATTCCAGTGCCAACCTCTTGTGCAGGTTTTCCAGCCTTTTAAATGTTACTATGAAATTTTTGAAGTTTATGACCTGATAATCAAAATTCACTTAAACATCGAATAGCATTTGTACTCCCGCTCTACTTTCCTCATCATTTGCGTCAAGCCATGTGTCTAAGGCAATGGGGCTCTTGCCTTCTGTGCTATAAGGACTTACATGAATAGAGAGCCTAGAACTCAGTGCGGACCTGATGAGAGTTGAATTGAAATTTTAATCACACCAGGTGCCTCATGTGCTTTTCTGGGGAACAAAGCCAATGCTAAGGTGAGCTCACTAGGTTTGAGGGCAGGGAGAGCTTCCAGTGTGGCGGCTTCCTCAGACACTTCTTGAAGAACGGTTTGGGGGGGGGGCTCCCACTAGCATCCAATAGCCTGTGTATTTTTAGTCCTCACTTTTCATGTAAGTTTCCCGTTACTGCTTGCAGGAAATCTTTTCTTGGACATAATCTGCCCATTTCCTGAAGTCTTCCTCTCCGCATTGTGTCAGTATAGGGATGAATCAAGTCAGCAGTTTTGGGGAGTGTGTGTTCTCTTCCCTGCCGCAGCCTCCCCCTTTTGTGGAATACCAGAAAGCTGCCTTTCTTGTCTGTTTCTAGGGGTGAAGAGAGGAGGGGCGAGCCCTTGGTGTGTGTCAGCCACTTAGGCTGCCTGACACAAATGTCCTTTTGTATGTGGAAGGGGGCTTGTGTGTGTTTTTCCCCTTCCCAATGGACACTTTCATTTATTAGGTCCGGATGGTGTCCTCTGAGCTGTAAACAATGGTGTGGGAGATAAAGAGCTGCCTTAGTGAGGAGGCTATGGAGGCAGCAACTGATTTTTCTTCTCTGTCCCCCACTCCCTTTGTCCATTGTGAGTCTGGTCTAATTTGAGCCAGCCTCGGACCTCTGTCATCCCCTTCTAGGGCTGGAGCAGCATGGCCACTGTTCCCTTTCCCTCAAAAACTTCAAACTTGGAGGGTGCCTGGGTGGCTCAGTTGGTTAAACGACTGCCTTCGGCTCAGGTCATGATCCTGGAGTCCCTGGATCGAGTCCCGCATCAGGCTCCCTGCTCGGCAGGGAGTCTGCTTCTCCCTCTGACCCTCCCCCCTCTCATGTGCTCTCTCTCATTCTCTCTCTCTCAAATAAATAAATAAAATCTTTAAAAAAAAAAAAAACTTCAAACTTGGAGAAAGGTTTTCTGTGAAAAGGATAAGAAGCCCTCATGTTTGTACAACGTTAGTTTTTAAACATGTTATGGCTTTTGAGGAAATGAAATTCTGGCTTTGTTATCCCTTAAGAATGTAGGATTGGGAATCAAAAGATAGGAGTTTAAGAGCTGTCCAGGCTATTTAATAACTATGAGACCTCAGGCAAGTTATGGAGCTAATAACAGTCCCCACCTCAGACGGTGTTCCAAAGTTTAAATAAGAAAACATATGTGAAGTGCCTGCCACATAGGAAGCACCCGAAGGTTAACCCCCCAAAAAGAGCAGGTATATAGGGGTATTAAATGAGATAATGGAGATGAATATGCTATGCATAAAATGCTAAACATTTTAGTTACTCTTTGGTTTGAGGTCTGAGAGTAAACATTTTCTCTCGCCTCTAAAGCTCCCCCTTCACCTGGGCTCTCATTCCCTCCTTCTCTCTGGCATTGATCACTATGGGCTCTTCTTTCACATATGAGCATGGATCATCTATCTGAAAGCAAACCGCTGACTCTCAAGGCCAGCCGGTAAGCCCAGTGTTTGGCACAAATCAGGGTTCAACAATTACTTCAGTAGATACTCATTATGAAAAACTCCAAAATCTCCCATTCACAGGGGCCTGCCTTTAGTCACTCAAACTTGTTTTTTTATTTTTATTTTTTTATTTTTATACTCAGGGGTGGGTGTAAGGAATGGAAACCATTCCAGATACTTTGAACAGAAAGGAATTTAATAAAAAGAATTAGATGCTTACCAAGTGGTATGAAGAACTAAAGCTGTGTGTTCTGTTCTAGGACTCCATGAATGATACTCCTCACCCCCACTACCCCAGAGTGATCGTTCTCCCACCCCCACCCCCCACCCCATGGCTGTGAACTAGCGATTGAGACAACTGCACCATGGCACTCAAGATGCTGGAAAATGCCCCCTTTCCTGTCCATACCCTTGCAGCAAAGAGAATAGAGCTTATGTGAATGCAAATAACTGGGAGATTAAGTGCAAGCAAATCTGGAAAAGGTGATTTTTTTTTTAGTTTTCCAGCATTTCCAACTAGAAGGGGAGTGGAGTGGAGGTTGAGTGAACCAGCCTACCCTATATACCACACGCACTTCACCTTGAGAGTATGTCACGTAGCAATGTGACAGGATAAAAGCTAGATGAGGAAATACAAGTCCCTCTGAATCAACTTGTTACCTTCCGAATACAGAATTACTTCCATAGAATTGGATCGTGTGTCTCTAGGGGAACTCTTCCATATCTTTCCCTGGCCTTGAAAAGAGCCTGCTCCAGACAGCTCTCCTTGTAACCCATCGGAGGCACTCAACAAATGTTTGAATGAATGCCCTCTGTATTTGTCAGACACTGTGCTAGGCAAAGGGGACACAAAGTCAAAAAAGAAAAACAAGGCTCTGCCTTCCAGGAGTTCTTGGTAGTCTAGTAAGATGATACAGAGATGAAAATAGTTACAAAATTATAAATGCTAAAATGAAGGTATTCTCAAGAGTAGAGATGAGAGGTGCACAAAACAGATAGGGAGATAAATGAGGATAAATATGAAAGAGCTATCTGTATTCATGTAAAGAGTTAAATGTAAAGGATTTTTATTAATATTAAGAGCCTACAAGCCTGGCTTTATAAGCTTAAATATTATTTCCTCTTCTCCCGATTACCAAACCCAGACATAAGACCCCAGAATGTCCTTCATTTTTCCCCAACATTTTTTAATGTAAATTTTCAAACATACAGCAAAGTTGAAAGAATTTTAGTGTATACCCGTATATCCACTATCTTAATTCTGCCATTAATATTTTACTGTATTTGCAGAATCACATCCTCTCCATCTATCCATCCCTTTGTCCATCCATCATTGATCTTATTTTTAAAAGCATTTAAAGTAAATTGCAGACAGTGTATTTCTCCCTAAATATGTCAGCATGGTATGAACTCACTAACTAGAGTCTAGTATTTGTTTAATATTTTTCTGTAAGGTAACACTTACATGGAGCAAAATGCCAAAGTTGTGTGTGAGCATTCTCTAAGATTGGACAAATGAGTGGACCTGCAAACTCAGGCACCTATCAAGCTATAAAACATTACCAGCATCCCAGGAAGATTCCTCATGACCTTTCCCAGACAGTTTCCAGAGGCAACCACCATTCTAATTTTGTCCCCACCATAGATAATTTTGCCTGTTTTAGAATTCCATATAAATGGAATCTTAGAGTATGTGCTCTTTTGTGGAAGACTTCTTTCACTCAACATTATACAGCTGAGATCCGTCCATGTTGTAGATTATATTCCATCTCTAAGGTTCTCAATCAGCAGCATGCTAGTCAATGTTTAACAGCAGGTTCTCGGGGGGAAAAAAAGAAGATGCTCTACTTTGCAGCATCTGCCAGTTTCCATGATGTAAATACTCCCACCGTGGCTGATTTCACATTACTAAGGTAATGTGATGTCAGCTGGGTTGCAAAATTCCTGAAAATTTAGCAATCCACTTTCGTGAGCTGATAGAACTGAGTCTCCCACATGACTTAAAATTAATGACTTTGGATTAACTGGTCACAGTCATAAGTGAAAAAAAAATATATATATATAAAAAATGACCATTCTCCCTAGGGAATTCTGTCTGGAGGCATAATTCTTACCTTATCATCTTTTGACTCTGGAAATACTTGAGTGTCATGGGACCTTGGTGAAATTCTTTTACTGCCATGAACCTCAGTTACACTGTCAGTAAAATGGGACTAAGGACTCCTATCCATAGGATCATAGTCAGTAATGAGAGACTGCATATAAAGTACTTTGCGCAGTGCCTAGAACATCATCTGACCCTCTCGAATATTCCCGTCCCCTTACCAATGTGGGAGGCTGTTATGTTAGATTGTTTCTTTATCTTTTCCTAACTCACAAAAGGCAAGCCATTGCTTTTCCTCCAGCCCTTCTCTTTTCTACCCGTTGTACTCCCTTGACATTCCCTTTTCCTCTGCCCACACCCACCTCCAGTGTATTTAATCTTCTTTCTGAACGTAATACAAATATTTAACCTTATGTGTTCTTTTTCTCCTCTTTTTATTTAAATTCAATTAGCCAAGGTATACTACATCATTAGTTTTTCATATAATGTAATAATGAACACCTTATGCATTCTTAACATTTTATCTGTCTTTATCTTCTATCCAATCCTCTCTTGCTAATCCGTGCTGCCGGAGATTATAGGCACACTTGCAGGGAGAGACCAACCCTGTGTAAGTCTCTTGGATTATCCTGCATCACTACACCATGAGCAAATGAGAGCTAATAAGTCACTACTCTTGGGATCAAACTTATATCAAGGCTGTTGCCCGAAGGAGCTTCTCTTGCACGAGTACCAGAGGAGGCTGCTAAAGATCAGCTCAGAGTTTTGTTGGCGAACACCGAGTATGTGCTGATGACCAAAGAGCTGACAGCAGGTGGAAAAAGTTTCACAATTTAAGAACATATCATTTTTTTTCTGCAGGTGGAATGCTTCTGAAAAGTTGTCCAAAAACAAAAGTCTAACTAAAACATACATATAGCTATCTCCCTCCGCCAGCATAATGTTTATAAAATGAGGTGTTAGAGGAAATGTGGTGTCATCTGTGTTGCAACTGCCAGTTCGAGCGTCGGTTCTCCCAACACTAAACATACATACTGTGCCCCAGATTCTGCTGCAGGCTGGGAGGAAAAAGATGTGAGATGTGGTTGTGCCTGCAAGGAACTTACAATCTATAAGCAAGAGAGAAGTCAGCCAACAAGCATCACATAGCGTGGGGAGGGCGGGCAGTCATAGAGGCAGTACGTGTAGTGATTTCTGTTAGCCTAGGATTGTGCAAAGCCATCCTGGAAGAAATGATCTGAGAAAACTCTTTTCCCTTTCGATCCTCTCTCATAACGCTTAGTCCTGCGCTAGGCTCAATAAATCCTCGATACAAGCGTGATCACATCTACTCCCGTTGCCTCAGTTACCATCCCTGTATAATGATGGTTTCCAAATCTTTATCTCCAGTCCATGTATGCACTTAGAGGACCAAATCCTTGGCCTACAGTTCAGCCCCACAAGGATGTCTTGAAGACTCTCCATTTCTAGATCTGTAAAATTGAATTCAGTACCAGCTGCCCTCATGCTCCAGGAAACCTGCATCAGTAGATATCACAATTTGCTCAAGCCCCAGGCCTCAAAGTTGTTCTTCTGTTTTTAACCACCCCCCCCACACACACACATTCCAGCAGTCATTAAAAAGTTGATTCTAGCGATTAACTATCTCTTTCTCGTTACCATCCCTCTCTCTCCATTGCCCCACCATTGCCTAAGCCACCATCATTTCTCACTGGGACTGTAATAGCCTCCCCGGGGGATCTGCCTGACCCCAGTCTTGCTCTTCTCCAACTTTTCACACAGTCATCAGTGAACTTTCCAGAGCACAAATCCCAGCATAGCACTCCCCTTTTAAAAACCCCAGTGGTCCTTAGGTTGGACTCCAAATTCCTTAACTTCTTCCCACTGGCTTTTTCTGACCCCCTCAATAAGGATAAGACCCTCTTGCTGTTCATTCCACTAGCACACCATATTTCCCTTTATCATAATATTGATAAACTTCATTATAATTACTTCTTATTGATATCTCTGATAGATACTAGTCTTTGAAGTCAAGGACCATGTCTGTATTGTGTATTCCTATACCCTCAGCCCCTAGCACAGTGCCTGGTACATGATACAAAACTGAATGTGTAAACAAGTTCACTATTTTACATGAATTTTTAATTATTAGTTATCTGTAAAATGAATAAAAAACCTCTAATGTACCTTGTTGGTAAGTTTCGTTAGTCATATAGTGAATTTACTTACAGCAGACCTTCTTTAAATTGTGTATTCAAGTGGGCGATTGCACTTTCTGTCATCATAGTTGGTTCTTTCAGGCGCCGTAGAGATCAGCATCGCAAAGCCTAAGGGAGGGAGAGTTAGAGGGGAAAACACAGGAGGGAAAAAAAAGTCTAAAGGACAGAAACTTTACCACCTTTTTTTCTTCTAGTGCTGCAATGTGTATCTTCATGTATATATCATTTTCTTTCCTTTGAATTATTCCCTTAGTCACTTGCCAGAAATGAGAATTATTGGGTAAAAGGGGATGAACATTTTAAGGCTCTTGAAATACTGCCAGATTGTTTCCCAAACACATCATATCAACAAATAGTTTTGAGCAATGGACAAGGGTGTCTGCTTAATCACACACTTACCACCACTGGGAAATGTCATTAAAATCTCTTTTGCTAGTTTAATAGCAGGGGGACATGGTCTTCCCCATTCCTTTCCTTTAGTGTTCGGTCTTTTCAGTCTGATTCTTTGTGCAGCTCCTTCTGAAGGAGCCTCCTGCCCCTCAAAGACTTGTTCAGACGCTGTGGGGCTCACTACCTCAGCAGCCTCTGGGGCACAGCATCCCTGTTGTGCCCTGGGCCAGGGGAGGGAGTGAGGGGGGAGAGAAGCATCGATGGAGGGAAAACATAACACAAACCACACCATTGTTAGGGGATGAGGTCGCTGGGATAATGCTGTTAGAAGGGATGAAAAGAACGATTCTCCATTCTCGATTGTTGTGATTTCCAAGGATGAGCCAACAGCTCCAGCACGGGAAGGGATGGGTCTTTACTGCAGCCAGATGCTCCTTTTTCCAGTGCTGCCTTCCATTATTTCTGGTGAGAAGGGGTGGGGGGTAGCCTAGCAGCTGAAACAGATTAACTTTTATGCCAGTTTCCTCCCTTTGAGTGATTGCCCTGGACCTGGGGACATTCAGAATTAGTCAGAAACTGTTTAGAAATAAGAACGTGGTTCAAGGTCCATGGTGTCTAAGAGCCAACCTTCTGGGGTTTGTGCATCATGCCTGCCTTTATGCATGGGAGCTCATGAAGCAAATAGAGCTTTCTTACCTTCCCTTCCCCACTGCCACTGCCTTCGTTCAAGCCCTCGTCCTGTTTTGTCTGAGCCACGGCAATAGCTTCCTGTTCCCCTTAATCTAGCCTCTTGTACACTGTTAGCAAAGTGATATTTCTACCATGCATGTTGGATCTTGTCACTGTCCAGTTTCAACTGTGAGCGCTTCCCCCACTGCCTTCAGGATAAAAGCCAACCTCCTTTTCCCAGCTTTCTGGGCATTTAGCAACCAGATCCCAAACTGCTTTTCCAGACTGGCTTCCACCTCTCCTCTAGACAGTGCTCTGCCTTGGATGTTCATTCGCTGTAAGGTGCTCACTCATGCTGGCCTCCTGCCCCGCTTGCCCTTCTGTCTCTGTCCTACCTGACTGACTCCATCCAGTCCCTCACATCTCTCCTCAGAAAGCAAGCCCCATCAGTTATCACCACTCTGGTGGATTTTTCCTGGGTTTCCCCTCACAGCTAATCACTCTGTTCCTGTAACCCTGTAGAACCACTTGCATGCAGGTCATGATCTCTGCATTTGTTCCTCCCAAATCAGGAATCCTCACCTTCCTTGTCTATATTGGTGTTCGTGAATCCCCAGCCCCTGCCACAATATTTTGCACATAATAAGTGCTCAAAAAGGTTTCCTTCGTTTCTGCTAGCCTATTCTTAATCGCTCTTTAACCTTCAGTGTGTGTTTTAGAGCTGCAAGGGAATATAATGTAGTTTAATCCTTCCCCCCCTCCCCTTTTTTAAATGGTCAACAAAAGCAAAGCCCAGTGAGGGAAGGAATTCACTCTGGGATGCACAGCCAGATTTAATGGCAGAATGGGGGAGCTGTAATGGTTGAGGCTGAGCTCCTTGGATGAATTGAAAAGCACCTTGAAATAAAGGGTTATATCAGGGGAAAGGGAAGGAACTGCCGTTCATTGCTAAGTTTTTTTTTTTGCTGAGGGCTTGGTATATATTACCTTATTTTTTACTTTTGGAACTGTATTCCATTTTTTAAATTGTCATGAAATACACATAACAAAATTTACCATCTTGATCATTTTTAAGTGTACATTTCAGTGGCATTAAGTGCATCCACGTTGTCATATAGCCACAACCACCATCCATCTCCAAAACACTTTTCATCTTATAAAACTAAAACTCTGCTCGCTTAACAATAACTCCCTATTCCCTCATCGTGCAGCCCCTGGCAACCACCATTCTCCTTTTCCGTGTCTATGCATTTGACTACACTAGGTACTTCATGCAGGTAGAATCAGACAGGACTTGTCTTTTATGATTGACTTATTTTACTAAGAATATAGTCCTCAAGATTTATCTGTTATTTCGGGGCACCTGGGTGGCTCAGTCATTAAGCGTCTGCCTTCGGCTCAGGTCATGATCCCAGGGTCCTGGGATTGAGCCCCGCATTGGGCTCCCTGATCAGCGGGAAGCCTGCTTCTCCCTCTCCCACTCATCCTGCTTGTGTTCCCTCTCTCCCTGTGTCTTTCTCTGTCAAATAAATAAATAAAATCTTTAAAAAAATAAATAAAAGATTTAGCTGTTATTTCATGTCAGAATCTCCCTCCTTTTTAAGGCTAAATACATTCCATTGTATGTATAGACTGCATTTTGTTCCTCCATTCATTTGTCAATGGACACTGAGTTGCTTCCACATTTTGTCTCTTGTAAATAATGCTGCTAGTACCTGTTCAAGACCCTGCTTTCAGTTCTTTTTAGTATATACCCAGAAGTAGAATTGCAAAGTCATAAAGTAATTCTATTTTTAATTTTGGGGGGAATGGCCACACCATTTTCTGTAGCAATGTACCATTTTACATTTCCAGCAGTGCACAAGGGTTCTGATTTCTCCATATCCTCAAAAACACTTGATATTTTCTGTTTTTTATGATAGGGAGCCACCTTACAAGGTGGTATCTCATTGTGATTTTTATTGGCATTTCCCTAATGACTAGTAATTTTTGGCATTTTTATGTGCAACATTTGTGTACCATATTTTTAAAAAGATTTTATTTATTTGTCAGAGAGCACAAGCAGGGGGAGCAGCAGGCAGAGGGAGAAGCAGGCTCCCCGCTGAGCAGGGAGCCCAATGCTGGACTCCATCCCAGGACCCTGGGATCATGACCTGAGCTGAAGGCAGATGCTTAACCGACTGAACCACCCAGGCGTCCCTGTATATCATCTTTGAAGAAATTTCTATTCAAGCCCTTTGCCCATTTTTAAATCAGGTTATTTTGTGATTGTTAAGTTGTAGAAGTTCTTTATATATTCTGGCTATTAATCCCTTATCAGATAAATATTTGCAGATATTTTTCTCCCACTCCATGGGTTGTCTTTTCACTCTCTTGTGTCCTATGATTCACAAAAGTATTCAATTTTGATGCAGTCCAATTTATTTTTTTTCTTTTGTTGCCTCTGCTTTTGGTGTCGTATCCAAGAATTCATTGCCAAATTCGGCATCATGAAGATTTTCCTCTGTGTCTTCTTCTAAGAGTTCTATAGTTTTAGGTTTTACATTTAAGTCTTTGATCCATTTTAGTGAATTTTTGTGCATGATATAAAGGTCCAGGTTCATTTTTTTACATGTGGATATGCAGTTTTCCCAGCACCATTTGTTGAAAAGATATATGTTGTCTCATTTTATATGCATGATAATCCTGGGATGTATTAAAACTATTTTATGGATCAGAAAAGAGAAGTTAAAATATCCCTGAGGATACCCTAAAAGCAGCCCCCTTTGTAACCTTGGTGTGCCAAAGGCATAAAAGAAGAAGGAGGAGGAAAAAAACCAATTATGATACAAGGTGAGAAAAGGGTAATGGAGAGAAAAGGGGGGAAAAAATGCAGCTAGCCCTGACCAGAACTATGGAACATGTTTAGGGTTCACTTGAGAGCTCCTCTCCTTCTGCCCTTTTTCTCTCCTCCGTCCTCCTTTGTGCTTCTCTGACTCTTTCAAGGTAACTCTGAGTTTGCTGTCTTTCTTGAAATTCTTTTAAGAGGGTAATTTAAAGCTTTTCCACTGTCTGTCCCCAACCTGTTTTCTCAGCTTTATCTGCTGTCACTCCCTTCCTGCCACTGTGACCCTGTCCTTGAGCTACTCCAAGAGCAGGCCCTGCCTCGACACACCGTTGTCATTTTATTCATGCTGCCTTTAGTGCATTTCATTATAATTATATTTATAATGGTTACGAATGCATACTCATTCAGCATGTGCAATATAGTCTTACTTCTAGGGATTTTAAAAGATCGTGTGACATGGTCTGTGCCTACCAGTGACCACAGTCTAGTTGGAAGAACTCAAGACACTTTTACGTGCACTTTACCCTTGACTGTTCTGTATAACACATAGTCCTTGCAACATTCATGAATGGCCGGGAAGATTGGGTTTACCTCCATTGTACTTGTGGCTATTAAAGGACAGCCAAGTTGAGGGGTTTGACTGACCTCACCTCGCTAGAAGATTGAGGTGGGACTTGAAGCTGGGTCACTGACTTCAGGCAAAATGCTCCACCACTTTAAGCAACTCCGTTTTTCACCTACAATACGGAGATAGTAGCATCTACTTCCTACGTGGTTGAGTGAGTACTGAACATCAGCCAGCACACACAAATAAAGAATTTAGCACAAGGGTGACACATTGTGTAGGTGCTCAAATGCTGGCGATGACTCGTCTTATATCTGGTGTTTTTGTCCCTATGTGACACACTGTATATTATTACTTTGGAAAAAAGGCTTGAAGTACCATCTCAATGCATTCACCTTAGATTGTCGGGAATATTATTAGCCGCTCCTGACCTCCATGTGAGTCCCGTGTAAAGTACCTCATGTGACTGCTGTCTGACTCAGGCGCCCAGTGAATGGGTCCTTCACTTCTCCTTCCTGGCCCTGTGCTTTCCCGGATGAATTACATGGGACTCGATACTTCTAAGTCCAGAGGCTAAGGAATTAACCCGGTTAGGAATAGAACACAGAATTCTCTCATATTTTTCACACAGTGAGTTCTTTTCAATTACTCTTTCTGCAGTCTTTCCCATGTTGTCTTCACCTTTTTCTGTGATAGGTAGATTGAAGTTGGTAGAATCACCGAGGCGTAGTAGGAGCTAACCTGTACCGATGTCTTATTTCAGTTGGTAGAGGCCCCAGGGCACTTGCGTGATAAATGGTGCTGTGTAAATTAAGATGCAGCCAAGGGTCTCTTCAGTGTCTCTTGAGTTAAGTTTATTATGTGTGGTAATTTGCTTCTAGAGGCTTTTGTTGTTATTTGTTGTAGCGACTGTGGCAGTAATGAGCCTGCTCCCGGCACAGCTTGGCACGTGCAGCATAGACAGTTCATTTGCATCTGGCAGGACTCCATGGTGTACCCTGAACAAATGAATCAGCCTTCTGGGGGGATGGGGAAACTGAATCATAGGGAGACTGTGGGTCTTGCTCATGATCCCCAGTGATCCTGAGATGGGGGAATAGCAGAGAGTTCTGTGTTCTGTTCCTAACCGGGTTATTCCTTAGCCTCTGGACTTAGAAGTATCGAGTCCCGTGTAATTCATCCGGGAAAGCACAGGGCCAGGAAGGAGAAGTGAAGGACCCATTCACTGGGTGCCTGAGTCAGACAGCAGTCACATGAGGTGCTTTACACGGGACTCACATGGCTAATAATAGCTTAACAATCCAGGATTCTGATCCAGTCTCAGGACTGTCTGCTTTATTGTAATAAACACTTAATCTGGCAGCTACATTGACCCAAACCATTTGAAGAACTTAAAAAAAAAAAGGAAGTTAGGGGAAAAAAACCTGTTTGAGTGGTCCCAAAGCCAACACGCTAAAGCTTGTACACATCTGATTCTCATAAACAACCTCGTGAGATAAACAGAGCAGGTGATAGTTCTTCACGAGTCTGAGAGGTCATGGAACTTGCTGGGGTCACATAATAAATAGCAGACTGAGGATTGAACCCAGGTTTTCTGATGGATCACCACTCAAGATTCTCTTAAGATTTAACATGAAATGGTATGTCACCTCTTAGTGTCATATTTTCAGCTCCAGTGCCTACCTCCCTTGTTGAGCCTTCATGTGTCAGACCTGGGAAGTTGCAGAAATTCCTGGCTGGGAAATGTAACGCAGGTCTGAGTTAAAGAGAGGAAGCCTTGGTTAGCAAGAAGAGCCTGGAAGACAGAGCCCGAAGACCTTCCTTTGCCACTTTTACAGTTTTATATTTACAGTTAAGTTACTTAGCTACTTCATGCCCCAATTTCTTCATCTTTAAGTTAGGATAATCATAGAAATTATGCATAGGATAGTTGTAAGGATGAAACGCGTCAATATATGTAAAGTGCTTAGTTCAATGCCTTGCACACAGTAAATGAATTTAGTTTTTATTATTATGATAAATACCACACAGCTTGTAGAAACTGCAAAAAGTAATCTCCTTCTTGCTCTCTCCATACTTTCTTATTGAAGAATTACAGGGAAATAATCTATCCATTCTTCAACTTCCTCCTCCTCCCCCTGCTCCTCCCCCTGCTCTTCCTCCTCCCCCTCTTACTCCTCCTCTTCCCCTTTTTCTCCCACAGGTCAGCCTGGCTCAGAGCTTACAGTAAACACCAGGGACATTCATTTGATTATGGCATTTGCTTGGTTCATGGCATCTTATATAATGTTCTGCCTTGTGACATAGCCATGGAAAAAGAATTGTTTCCGGGCCTAGAATTGGGAGCAAGGTTGGTATCCTTAGTCATTTGCAGCAAGGCACGAAGCTGATTTCCATCCATCAATCCCACACTGGACGGCATTGTTTATTAGACAAAATCATGTCAGTAGGATTCTCCTATGCCTTTTCCTGGTGAGTCTCCCCCCCATCTCAGGACCCTCAGGTGTCTGGCCTCCCCATGACCTGGCCTGACTGAACTCCTAGTAGGTACATCATTCAGGGCCCACTGTCCCCGTCTGATTGTCCCCTCTTCCTGAGTCCAGTTGCCTTACGCTTTCTAGGTGTCTGGTTACTCTGGTAAACTAATTGCATCTTGGGTATTTGTGGAAAGAATTCATGAATAAATAAATATATTGAAGCAATATAATAAGCAGTACCAAGTCATTAACATCCTCTGCCTGGCCCAGGGCCTGGCACAAGGCAGCAGCTCAATGAAAATTTGTTGAATAAATTATGACTTTGGGTGTAAAGTACATTTACTATCCTAACCATGTGTTAGAAGCCTAGTTCAGATACCGCTTCCTTTGTAAAGCTGTTCTCATATCAAATATAAATTCTCCCACTTCTGAACTCTAATAGAACTTTATGAGAAACTTTGTATATATAAAGTTAATATTATATTCTTTATTTAGGGAAAGAAAAAAACCCAATTTCGCTTCTAATTCTCATAAGAACCATGTCAGGATTATCATCTTCATTTTATATTTGAAAGAAAGATCCCAAGTTTATGCTGTTCATAATTAGCAAAGCTGACCCCAAAATTTACTTTCAGCTACTAAATTATTTCTGTTGGAATGTATTATACAGGTGAATGTGTATTTTCTTTAGTTCTGTGCATGTTTTAATTTCACCACGAGAATGGAAGCCCCTTTTAATCTGAGGACTCTCTGTCTCATATGTTTGCCTGTGTTCCCCAGGGCTTCTTCACACATAAGTGTTTGAAAGCAAATTGCCGATTTTAACAAGGTTCTTCAATGCTGCAATCAAAGGGGTGACCAATGACAGAATTTCATGCAGAATCAGTGCAGAGAGAAAAAAAAGTTTTAGGGAGAAGACAAGCGTCTCTCCCTGTGTCGAGCTCCCTAACGGCCCTTCTTAACTTTTTAAGTTGGACTGCAGAAAACACCCCTATGGGTCTTCTTTCTGGTGGTTATTCCCTGCCTGTGGATCGTACTACTAAGTAGAGCTTTTACCTGCTCTCATACCTGAAGTCGCAGCTCTGACACATGGCACAGACTCAGGAGAATGGTGATGGTCCAGCGCTGCCAGTCCCGGGCCAGTGTCCTCCAGGGCTAACTGAGACTTGGCACTATTAATATCTGAGTTTCTATTAATACCCTCTTTTCACTGTGAGCTAATTTAAATCTCCTGTTCTCTCAGCTATTCTTAGCTAAATGTTCTTGGGCCTGGGCCTGGTTCCCAATTACAGATCATAACTCTCCATTTTGGTTTCGCATGTTTGCAGAAATAATAGGAATTCTGCCCCTGTTGATTCTCAGAGGGGAAGTGGGGCTCTGCTGGAATTTCGGGTAGGACAGTTCTTTGTTAATGCAGAATACTCCATGCATTGTTTGAGGTTAGTATCTTGTCCCCTGTCCTATAATGCCTGTCGTGGTCCCCAGGCACTGTGACAGTTTTCCCCTCACCAAGCACTCACACATTTCCAAACCGTTGGAGAGCGGGTAGTTCTGCCACTTGTTGAAAGCCACTATAACCTGATGCCTTTTTGTGCCACCTTGATCCCTGTTGACTTGAGTCCCTCTCCGGGGCGGAACTAGGAATGGGGATGTACCCCCTCTACAGTTTGAGAAAAGGTTTCCAGCTTCTCCAGAGCTCCTGTCTTTGTGGGAGGCAAATTAAGGCTCTGAAATAGGATCTCCTCAGGGATTGGGCTCCTGAGACCAATTGAATGTCACTGTTACTCTGTCAAGACAGGTTTTAACCACACATTGGGACAAGGTAGTGGCAGTAGGTACGGAATGGGGAGTGACTGTTAATGAGTAAATGAATGTGGGGTTTCTTTTGGGTCAAAGAGAATTAGGATGGAATTAGGTGCTGGTGATGGTTGCACAACCTTCTAAATATAGTAGAAGCCTCTGAACTGTATGCTTTATAGAGTGAATTTTATGGTATGTGAATCACATCTTGATTTAAAAAAAAATGCATGAGTCTGCTCTTCTTAGTATTTTCCCCACCTATCACCCAGTTTCTCAAGCTTGAAACTTAAAAAATCTTACAGTCACTTTGCACACTTGCCTTTCCCTTAGTTTCCATTTCAAATGGGTCACTAAAACCTAACTTCTAAGTCATCCTCAACTCCTTTTCCATTCTCTGTCCCTGTTACTAATGACCCCACTCAAGTCCTCTTCCCTTGCCTGTACGATTACGACCATCTCAATTTCTTTTCTTGTCTCTAGACTCTGCCCACCCTCATGATCCTTCCAGGATACTTCTAATTGTGTCTTCTGCAGTATTTTATTGTGAGTTATAATACACATAGAAAAATGTATGACACTTAGAGTAAAATCAAGGAAACGCTCATATTGCTACTACTCGGGTCAAAAAATTGACAGCACCTCCTAATCATATTCTTCTTACTTCACTCCTACTCCCTCCCCTGCCGAAGTATGACAACTTTTGTGCTTTTGTTGATAGTTTTACCATGAGTATGTGTATCCCTAAGCAGTAGTGTTAGTTTTGTCCATTTTTGAACTTTATATAAATGAAGTCACATGTTCAGTCTTGCTTCCTTCTCTCAACTTTAAGATTCTTTCATGTTGTGTGTGGCTCAGTTATATATTTTGTAAAGTATTTATTTACTTATTTATTTATTGTTTGTTTATTTTAGCACACCCAAGCGGCGGTGGGGGGAGACAGGGAGAGGGAGAGAATTTCAAGCAGGCTCCCTGCTGAGCGTGGAGCCAACACAGGGCTCCATCTTGTGACCCTGAGATCATGACCTGAGCTGAAACTAAGAGTTGGGCGCTCAACAGACTGAGCCACCCAGGCATCCCACAGTTTTACTTTTTTTTTTTTTCCCAAAGATTTTATTTATTTATCTGAGAGAGAGAGAACACATGAGAGGGGATAGGGTCAGAGGACGAAGCAGACTCCCTGCCGAGCAGGGAGCCCGATGCGGGACTCGATCCAGGGACTCCAGGATCATGACCTGAGCCGAAGGCAGTCGCTTAACCAACTGAGCCACCCAGGCGCCCCAAATGACATTTCCTAGTCTTTTTTTTTTTTTAAATATTTTATTTATTTGACAGAGAGAGACACAGCGAGAGAGGGAACACAAGCAGGGGGAGTGGGAGAGGGAGAAGCAGGCTCTCCGTGGAGCAGGGAGACCGATGTGGGGCTCGATCCCAGGACCCTGGGATCATGACCTGAGCCGAAGGCAGACACTTAACGACTGAGCCACCCAGGCGCCCCTTACATTTTTTAAAACTTAGATCTGATCCTGTTTCTTCCAGTCGCCTAGATGGTAAGTCCATACTGCATGGTGTGGCAGCATTTGAGGCTTTCTGTGATCTGGTCTTAACGTGCCTCCCTAGCCTCATTTGCTATGACCTCTCCCCCTATATCGTTTCCTTTAATCACACAAAGAACTTGCCATTGCCAGAAGATGCCATGTATTTCTGTGCCTCCATGTGCTTAAAATCTGGAATTTCTTCCTACCCTCTCCTCTTGGCATATTCTGTGACTCCCTTCTCGAAGTATGATAAATCAGTCTCTTTCCTGTGTCCCATAATTCTTTATACCCCCCTCCCCTTTTACACAAGTTGCCTGAATTAGAATAACAGATAATGGTTATTGAGCATATAGAGTGATCCAGGTGCTGAGATTGGATTGGTACTAAGTAGATGCTCAATAAATGCTATTTTCTTCCCTACTTTGTATGGTGGATGCTCAGTCCTGTAGTTGAAGTCTTTGAATGTGATGGCATTCCATCTTTACATCAGCAGTATAGGATATTGTAAACTACTTTCTCTACTCAGGAGCATCCTTTTGAAATCTTTCCTAATGGTCAAATTTCTGGCTGATGTAAGCAATCACTCAGGTATTTGGAGATTCTAAGAGGCTTTTGTGCCCAAAGAAGACGAATGTCATTTATTTATAGTTTGCTTAATGTTTAATTTCAAAACTTTGAAAATGAATTTTTATTGTACATTTAAACATTAGTTATTAACAAACTTCTTTAATTTCTCTCAATATAACCACAGTTATAAGCTTAATTTGGCTGTTTCTCTTGAGTACTTCAAAAACCTTAAATAGTAGATAAGACATATACAAATACAGTGATCACAAATCTTATATGTATGTTTATGCTTAATCTTATCCTAAAACATCAACACCTTGAGTTTAATTTCATTATTTTTGTATTTATTTGCATGCTCTCCTCCAGCATCGCTAAGCTTATTTGGATATCTTCCAAAGATTTAAGTTATAATTTTGACTTCCCCAGGGAAATCATCTTTCCCAGAGAAATAACAAGAAAATAAGCTAACCAAAATGAAAAGTAAAAAGAACACCTTTTCAAATTGGCCAAGTCCTGGTTTCCAGTGACAGACTAATAGATCTTTGGTTGGAGCACAAGGCTTGGTTGCTATCTCAGTGTTGTAGACCTGCCTCTGGTTATGAGGCTGAGCTTCCTTCTTCTAGATGAACTTCAGGTACATTAATGCAACTTTAGCTAAAACTTTTGTTTTACTTTCTTGTATTTTCATATCTTACCTTGAAATGAGGAATTTTTTAGTCTCTTGCTTGGCCAGAGTTATAAAATACTGTTTAGTAATTATGATGTAGTGACCTGAATGTTAGCGTTATTCAGAACTTACTTATGCCTCAATAGTATGTCCTTAGAATCAGGGCAGTGGTTTTCAAAGTGTGGTCTAGGAGTAGCAGCATCAGCATCTTCTGGAGAGTTTTTAGAAATGCGAATTCTCAGACCTCCGACTCCAGATCTTCTAAATCAGAAACTCCGGGAATAGGGCCCAGAAATCTGCATTTTAACATGTCAGTAGGTAATGCTGATGCATGTTAAAGTTTGAGAAGCACTGCTAGAAGTTGAGAGAATATGAGTTCATGGGGTCAGCTGTCTTTTGCATGCTGAAGTATTATCTTGAAATATACTCTTGCACGCTCATTCTACCTGGCCAGTGTACCTGACCACTCGTGCTTTTTAACTGCTAATCCCCCCCACCTTTTGTTTGCTGTCTGTGTGACCACCAATGCTGATCAATTGTTTGTATAATTTCTACTTTTTTCTTGTACTTCTTACTTACTTGTAGTTTCCTATATTGATTCTTTTTCTTCTTACGCAGATAGAAACAGATATGCATCTATACTCTATATCACATATATTGCTTAATAGAAGAGAGATGTCCAGTGTATTGACTCCCTTCTTATGAAACTCAATAAAAATACTAAATAAATCCTATTATAGTTGCCTGTTTTTTATATTTTATTTTTTTTTAAGATTTTATTTATTTATTTGACAGAGAGAGACACAGCAAGAGAGGGAACATAAGCAGTGAGAGTGGGAGAGGGAGAAGCAGGCATCCCACGGAGTGGGGAGCCCCATGCAGGGCTCGATCCCAGGACCCTGGGATCATGACCTGAGCCGAAGGCAGACGCTTAACGACTGAGCCACCCAGGCACCCGGTTTTTTGTATTTTAAGAAAAACTTTGTACACTATTCCTTTGAATATCATAAACTCATATTTTCACAGGCTCAACTTTTAGACCTAAAAGGTTACAACTTGGACGTTAGGAATCACTTTAAATCTAATCCTCCTGATTTTCAGCAGTCCTTAACGTTTTTTCTTCTGTACATTTTATTTTTTAAAGATTTGCTTATTTATTTTAGAGAGAGAGACAGAGATGGAACGAGTGAGGGGGAGGGGCTGAGAGAAAATCCCAAGCAGACTCCGCACTGAGCGTGGAGCCCGATGTGGGGCTCAGTCCCACAAACCCGATAGCATGACCTGAGCCAAAATCAAGAATCAAACGCTCTTGGGGTGCCTGGGTGGCTCAGTCGTTAAGCGTCTGCCTTCGGCTCAGGTCATGATCCCAGGGTCCTGGGATCGAGCCCCGCATCGGGCTCCCTGCTCGGCGGGAAGCCTGCTTCTCCTTCTCCCGCTCCCCCTGCTTGTGTTCCCTCTCTCACTGTCTCTCTCTGTCAAATAAATAAATAAAATCTTTAAAAAAAAAATAAAAAAAAGAATCAAACGCTCAACTGACTGAGCTACCCAGGCATCCCTTTCTGCAATTTGCTTTCATTATTCAATAAACAGCACATATAGACCT